AAGAATTAACTATTTCTCATATAAGAAGTCCAATTAATAAATGCAGAAGAAATGAGGGAAAGACAAAACACCATTTGAAAAACAGAGTAATAATTGATGTAGGCAAGATCACTGTAGAATGCTAAAATATTAGTGAGTGAAAGTTTAAGAAGAAAGTGGATATTTACATAGTATCAGAGTATCTCACCCAAAGACTTAGAAACTTTTACAGATGGGAGAAAATTAAGGAACATCCCTTTTAACTGCAATGTGGATTTTGGGTTTGATCCACAAACAGATAAAGGACAGTAACAGAAAAATAGGAAAAAATCCAAATAAAGTCTATAATTTAGTTAATAGTATTGTATCCGAGTTAATTTCTAAATTTTATAGTTGTACTATGGTTATATAAGATTTTGCATTTAGTGAAATTTGAGTGAAAGGTATACAGGAGCTCTCTACACTATTTTTACAACTCTTGCATATGTTTAAAATTATTGCAAAATAAGAAGTTATATTTTAAAAAATGCTTAATCCCATCTTCCTAAAGGCAAGAAACCATCCTAGTTTCCTTGAATGATTTTCTGAAATGGCACACTCTATTTCTACATCATCTTTTTATTCAAAGCCATGTCCATTGACTCCTTATTTATGAAAAATGATTTAACTTACACAGACACCATAGTCACTTGATTTCTGACTAGCTCATACGTTTTAACAGAGCTTTGCAGTGGCATCATTCAATAATCCTCCAACCAACAGAAATTGGCTCCTGAGGAATTCTTCCACTGTAGAGCCAACAGCAAGGCTATCTCTTAAACATACCTTGCAGAACCAATTTCCCAAGTCACGCTAAGCCAATATTCCTAACCACATTTTTTAGCCACTAAAATATTTTTTGATTATAATTATTTTTCAATATGTATAACCATAGAGAAGTCAGATTACAGAAAAAGCTGTGTATACTCATTATAACTCTTCAATTACCTTTTCTATATATCTAAAATCATAGTTTCTTGAATTTGTCTTGTAAATATTTTATTAAATAAGAAAATATTTTTGTAAATTCTGAGTGTTTCTCTCCTAAAACTCTGTGGATTTTAAAATTAATTATACCTCAACATTAGCACATACATAGATAAAATCTCCTGCGACAGTTCCTAGAAATTTTCTATTTCTACCCAAATAATTAGCTTACTTTATTTACATCTTTCAAAACAGAGGTATGTAAGAAACAGAACCATGCTAAGGGAAAATATTTTATACGATAGTGTATCTGTTAGGTGGAGAAACCATTAAGGTATACTAAGGAGTGTTGCTTTGTTTACTCTAAAAGATAAAATCGGATGGATTGGATACACAAAAGGAATTTATTAACATGCTATAGATAAATTTTACCCATCTTTTTTTTTCATTTATCTTTTGTTCCTGGTTTATAGTTGTATACATTCATTTTGTTAGGTTTTTACTCTCAATTTTGTAAAACAAAGACCAATACTAAATATTCATACATTTTATTTCCTTTACTGTGTATATCAGATAATCAACTGATAAATAGTACCACTTCAATCATTGTGGAAAAACACGATTCTAGATGTGAATTTTAAAATAAACGAAAGCTAAAATACTAACATACAGGTCTTATCACTAGTAAACTGTTATGACATACCACAAGTTTAAGACAATCTTCAATGAGTTTGTTTTTAAAAGATTTAATTACTGCTTAACTCAAATTATTTATTTAATCTTAATTTAGCAGATTTAATTACTTATATTCTGCAAATCATTATGCATGTTCCTATAACATATTATTGAAAATACTGATAGAAAAGCTTATTCTGGCTGGGCACGGTGGCCAGAATATCAAAATAGTGAATAATAAAATGACCTGTGCAGGAATGTATTGCTTGCCTTGAATTTGAAGGGGCTCTGAGATTTCAAAAATAATGTAGAATCTTCACATTTCACTTCTGTAGGAAGTATAAACTATGTAAAGAGGTATCTTGATCATCTCTGTATTCTCAGAACTTAATGCTGAACCCAACACATAATAAACATTCAAAAAGTAGTTATTGAATGAATAAATGGTAGTTAATTATAATCATGATCCAGTTTTCTATGTTATCAGTCAATGGAAAGAAAAAATCTTAAAAACAAGTCTGACATCTTTTATGATGTAGAATTATGGAGACCCCAGGCCACTCTAAAATATCAGGATGAATTATTAACATTTCCCTAAAATAGAAAAATCCATTCATTCACAGCTTAGTCTATCGCCATTTAGAGGTTACCAATTTCTAGTCCTTCATGATTTAATTTCTTCTACTGAAGTTATAGATTATTATGAAAATGTAAATCCTTCTATATTTTCTGCCCTGATTTCAGGCTACTATCACCTAAGTATTCTATTCTAAATTGTACACTAGTTGGACTACTATTTAGTGCTTGGTATCTTGAGAACACCAATCTCCACAGTATCTTTTGTTTATTCATTCAACTAATTCCCCTGAGTCCATTGTAAATGGAGCAGATAAAATTATGGCTAGCCTGAATAACATTACTTCTGCACAGAAGATCATATCATCTTATCCATCAAGCTTGGAAAGATATTACATTGACATTAATTTCAAAAATAACATATTTCAAGTATCAATGGTGATAGATGGGATATCCTGAGACCTCAAATCCTAAAAGTTTGGGTCGATGTGTAGAAATGGGCTGGTATATGTCTCTCTTGTGAATGTTTGTAGAGAACCTCTTGGAATTATCCTTTATTATCAATATTTTGGATATTTGGTTACAAATATGATAGAGGAGAAACATTGCAAAGACTCTTGAAACATCCCAAAGCACTTATGTTTAGACAAATTAGTAAGCAATTAGAAATAACATTGACTAAATGGTCATATTTATCATAAAAGTAAGTATGTTCTTTTAGGAATATAATTTTCACTTTAATAGTTTAATTACATATATGTTATATGTAAGTAAAATTAAACCATCCAATTTATATGAAATACAAAAATAAAAGAAAAATTTTAAAAATACTATGTCAAAAGTTTCATGTAACATTTTTGTCCATTGTAGCATAAATATTGTGTGATTGATAAAACTACATGAATTTTTGTTCTTATCTAGACATCTGGTAATAATCATTTGTAATATAAACAACATCAGGAAACCATCAAATCAGGTTTATATAATATTAAAAAAAGTTTATTTGATGTGCTTTAATACTGAGAAGATATACTTTATGTTTTAGTTTTTCACAATGTGAATATTATACATAGTGAAGATTAGCACTCATCTTATAAAGGCAAAAGACAAAAAACTGCATATCATTTAACCACAAAGAGCAGATAATGGAAAGTGGAAATATATCCATCCCAGAAATTTTACAGGTAAAAATTTTGAATAAATTTATTCACATATTAAATTAGTTCGCTAATCCTGAGAAAGTGTTTTTCAATTTGATAGCCCTGACATCTATGAAGAATGTAGAAAACAAATGAGACATTACAGACTTAGGCAGCCTGTCTGGACATTTAAGTATTAAAAAAATGATTTTAGATGACAGTATATTTAAAGCTTTAATAATAACTTCAAACATGAACAACCAAGTAAACAAATTCTGTATAATACCAAGAGTGACATCAAAAGCAAAAAATAGGAAAAAAGAAAATATTTATTGCCTGCTCAAAATTTACCTCAATGTTGACCTATTCCTATTTGGCATCCCTCAAGAAGGGAATAAGCAATGTTACGCAAGTGCTATAGCATTTTGGAAATAAGGCAAGTAAGAGCACTTGCAGTTTATAAAATCAGCACTTTTTATAACACTTAAGCACTGTTTTATATATCAGAGAGTAGACTTATTATAGATAAGTGGTAAATAAAAAATATTCAAAAAAGTACGTTTACAATTTTACATCAGACCATTATAACAGATTAGTAATTAAAACTGGAATGTCTTGCAGTACAAACATTGAAATTGCACTGGGGCTGCTCTCCCACCCATCAAACATCTCTGTATACCTGTAGCAGAAACGCATTACTTTGCATGACTGAGTTGTCATCGTAGACTATAAAAGTCTGAATGGAGGAGGAGAAAAAAGGCTTATTCAAAATAGCAAAATAGAAAATACATGAAGAGGAACAACAATAAAAAATTTTTCACAGAGTACTGTAGTATGCTGGCAATGACTTAAGGGTTTTATTTGAAAATGTTTTAATCTCAGAAGTTTTAATTTCTTTTTTCTTATTTTCAGGGAAGGTATTGAAACATTCAGAAGACAGACTTATATGGAAATGTGTGAGAATATAATGAAGAAAATGCAGGAATAATGAATATACGAGGTAATAAACAATTTTTTAAAGTATTTTGTTTCTATGTACTATGAAATCATTTTTCTCTAAAAGCAAAAGATAATACTTTTTAAAGGGTGTGTGTTTTTCCTAAGTTTTTTATTGTATATATTTAAGGTGCACAACATAATATTTTGATATGCATATACTTAGTAAAATTATTATAGTCAAGCAAATTATTCTATTCATCACCACCTTTCATAGTTATCTTTATTTGTGGTAAGATCACATGAAATCTCCTCTCTCAGAAAACTTTCATTATACAATACAATATTATTAACTGTAGTCCTTGCACAGTACATTGGATCTCTAGATTTATTCATCCAACATAAGGGCATGCTTGTACCCTTTAAAGAGATAGATAGATGGATGATAGATGATAGATAGATAGATATTAGGATGTATGTATATGAGATATATGGATAGATAGATGCTTAGCTATATACAATGGAATATTTTCCAGCCTTTTAAAAGAAGGAGATACTGCCATACTGCCATTTGTGACATCATAGATGAAAGTGGAAGGCATTACAATAAATGAAATAAGCCAGCACACAAAACAAATTACCAAATTTCTTTACTGATGTTGTAAATTCCTTATTTCTTCATCTATTTTACAGCTTAAATACAGAATACCTTTATAAAGAAAGAAAATAATGAGAAATTCCACAGCAGTAACACACTTTATTCTTCTTGGATTGACAAGTGACCCACAGTGGCAGATTGTACTCTTCATATTTCTTCTTGTTACCTACATGCTAAGCGTGACTGGGAACCTAACCATTATCACCCTCACCCTTTCAGATCCCCACCTGCAGACCCCCATGTATTTCTTCCTTAGGAGTTTCTCATTCTTAGAAATATCATTCACATCTGTCTGCATTCCCAGATTCCTGGTCACCATCGTGACAGGAGACAGAACCATTTCCTATAACGGTTGTGTGGCTCAGCTATTTTTTTTCATCTTCTTGGGGGTAACAGAATTTTATCTTCTGGCTGCCATGTCCTATGACCGTTATGTGGCCATCTGCAAACCTCTTCATTACACAGCCATCATTAGCACCAGGGTCTGTATCCTTCTTGTCTTTAGCTCCTGGCTTGCAGGATTCCTGATCATCTTTCCACCAATAATCCTTCTTCTGCAGTTGGATTTCTGTGCCTCCAATATAATTGATCATTTTATCTGCGATTCTTCTCCAATTTTGCAGCTTTCTTGTACAAACACTCACTTTCTAGAACTCATGGCATTTTGTTTAGCTGTGATAACACTCATGGTCACCTTGACATTAGTTATTCTCTCCTATACAAATATTATCCGGACAATTCTGAGAATTCCTTCTAGGAGTCAAAGGAAAAAAGCCTTTTCCACTTGTTCCTCCCATATAATAGTTGTTTCCCTCTCTTATGGTAGTTGCATCTTCATGTACATAAAGCCTTCTGCAAGGGAAAGAGTGACTTTAAGCAAAGGAGTAGCTGTGCTTAATACTTCAGTGGCTCCTCTTTTGAATCCCTTCATATACACACTAAGAAATCAGCAAGTGAAACAAGCCTTTAAGAGCATGGTCCAAAGGATAATCTTTTCTTCAAAAAAATCAATGTGATTATGTGCACAACGTATCCCTAAAAGCAAAACTGAATGGAAAATCTCTCTACCCTTCTCTAAATTAACTCTCTCTAAACACTTCATTTCACTCCTTTAGTTAGACATATTTATATATCATCAACACCTCTGTATCTAATTAGCCTAAAAACCAAGGCTTAACTATATTAAGTTATAGAGAAAGTGTTTGATCTCTCACCTGTGTAACTAAATTTTAGGCAAATCAATAATCACTAGTGTTTCTCATATAAAGGCAAGATTATGAATTCATCCTTAAAATAGTGCTGTAAATGAATAAGCTTACTAAAAACTACATTCAAATATAAAATTTATTTTTTAAGAAATACATAAAATATGTATCTTAATTAATATCTCTAAAATTTTTTCTTCAGTGTTACCAGAAAAAACATTTTATAAAACTAGAAGTATTATCAAAATGTCTCCTTGTATTTATCAATAAATTGTAGTTAAAATGTGTGAAAACATTAAATAGAAATTTAAGATAAAATGTGCAGTCAGAAATACTATCTCTGTTGTTTGAATTAACGCTATATTAATTTTTGTATTCATTTTCCTGGAAAAGAATAGCAAAGTATAATTGAAATGAAGAAATGACATTTACCTTATATTTTGCTTGGTAATATTTCCTAAAATATAGGTTATTTAACTGGGAATTTTTTCTGTTTCTGCCAATAATATTTTAAAGGTAAAACCATGATCCATAAAGACAAAATGTTATGCTGATAAGATTCATATTTGTGTTCAAATTTTTTAAACTGATAGAACACTGCCTTTCCTATTAGAATAGTGATATTGACTCTTCATAAATTGTCTTGCAAATGATGACATATGAATTACTAATGCATTAGTTTTCCTTCATTAGTAAACTTACAATACTGTCTTTATCTTTCTATTGTGTCTTTCACGGAAGGTTCTACCCTCCTCACCTATATCCAATAAAATGACTTTTAGAGGTATTTGAGAACAGTAAAAAATGTGTTCAAGCCCAGTTCTTACAGTTAATGAGTCCCCCAACTCCAATGTATCATTAAGAAAATTGGTTGTCTTGGGACAATAGCTATGAGTCTGACTAGATACAGGCTAAGTGGATTTGAGTTTGATTTCTTGATTTTCAGCTTGGTCTGATATATAGGTTAATGTAAAGAGCTCTACGTATTTTCTAAGTCCATGACAGAAATACTTCTTCTCATAGACAAGAATGTCCTTAAACACTTATGTGTTTCCTACTACTGGGCTTTTATGAAGTGGCTTACATTTTTTTCAAATAGGTTCTAACATAATATTATCACAAAACAAAAATGAAATGATAATTTTATTTGATTATGAATATTTTATAGGAGCAACTTGTAAGGAAGGGAGCCAATGTCAGTTTGCTTTTGTAAGATTAAAACACGTAGCAGAAATGCAAAAGTGCAAATCAGGAGTGTGGAAAAACAGCATGGTGTGTGTGTGTGTGTGTGTGTGTGTGTGTGTGTGTGTGTGTGTGTGGTAAAATCTACATGATAGTGAGAGAGAGAGGAGGGAGAGGAAGGAAGGGAATAGGAAGTGGGGAGGGAGAGAAAGAGAAACAAGAAGAGAGAGGGAGTGGAAGATAAGTAAGTAAAGGAAAGTAGACCCTCTTGATCAACAAAAATTATTTGAAGAAGTTGACTAAAATATTCAATACATGTACATATATGAAAATCCCTATGAATCTTTCCAAGAGTAATATTATTATGCTCTAAGGTAAAATGTTACTTTGAAGTATTACAAAACAATGGAGCTTTGATTGCTAATGTGAGGTTTGGTGAGAAATATATCAGATATATGTTAGAGGTCATGTTTTTAGAGGCTTTCAATAAACTATATTCATTTACTGTTCACAGTGTAGTATATCAAAAAATAATTTCCTTTAACAATAGAGAATATTAAATTTGTGTAATGCTCACACAAAATACATCTGTCGTAACCTTTTTAATCACATGGCAATAATTAATTAATTTATTTATTATTGTTTTGAGGTAATAGAAATAATAAATAATTTAATTTTCATTGATAAATAATTATCTTGGAAGTTAATTCTATAAAATAAGAATTAATGTTGTAAAGAATGAAAATGTCTTACTATTACTACAAATTGGAACCTCATTAATTCATATGCCCATGGAACATTCCTCAAGTTCTAAATATTACAAAATGTTCTCCCAAAGCTCTATGATTATAGTCATGAGCCAAATATTCCCTCCTATGTTTTCTTCTAGTAGTTTCAGAGTTTCAGGTCTTACATTTAAGTCTTAAATACATTTTGAGTTGGTTTTGGTGTATGTAAATATATACTGTTTTTTTGTACATGGTGTGTGATAAGGGTCTAATTTTGTTCTTCTGCATGTGAATATCCAGTGTTTCCAACACTTTTTATTGAAGAGACTGTTCTTTCCCCATTGTTTACTCTTGACATCTATGTCAAAAATCGGTAGGCTATAAATGTATGGATTTATTTCTGGACTCTCTATTCAGTTCCACTGGTCTATGCATCTATTTTATGTCAGTACCACGATGTTTTTATTACTCTAGCTTTGTACTATATTTTGACATTAGGTAGTGTGAGGACTCCAGTTTTATTCTTTTTGCTCAAGTTGCTTTTGCTGTTCAGGGTCTTTTGTGATTCCATATAAATTTTAGAAATTTTTTTCTTTGTGAAGAATATCATTGGCATTTTGATTGGAATTGTAATGAATCTGTAGATCCCTTTGGGTAATATGAACATTTCAACAATATTAATTCATACAATTCATGAACATCTTTATTCTATTTGAGCATCTTCTTTCTATTTATTTGTGTCTTCTTAAACTTCTTTCATCAATATTTTATAGTTTTCAATATAGAGCTCTTTCACCTTCTTAAATTTATGTCTAAGTATTTTATTTTTAGTAGCTATTATAAGTGAAACTTCTTTCTTGATTTCTTTTACAGATAGTTCACTATCAGTGTGTAGGAACACTGTTGATATTTTATGTTGATTTTTTTAGATCCATGGTTTTGTGTCTGTCATCAATTTTGGAAAATTTTCAGTCATTAATTCTTTCAAAATTTCTTCAGGCCATTTCATATTAATCTAGTCAGGAGTTGGGCTCTGTTCCAAGTTTGTTGTTGCTATGATTACTCTCAGTCACCACATATTTCAAATTTCTCTAGTGATACTTGTGTTTATTGTGTGGATTGTTTTGCCAGAGGATTTTCTGATTGTCTGTCCCCACTTGGCGTGAGTCTTCCTGTTTGACTTTGGCTCTTCTCTGTGCACTGTCCACAAAGAGAATTTGTCTTTTACAGCTTTTCTATCTGTATGTAACTGTTATGACAACTAAATGCTTGTTAGCATTGTGTGAGGTGGGGCGGCAGAGATAGGAGGCATTCTCTGATGTGTTAATTAAGCCTTAGTCTTTGGGAAGTAAGGTAAACCTCAGTCTCCAGGATTTGGACTTCACAAGTATCTCTGCCCCTTATCCAGATATAGTGCTGGGTCTAGCATATTTCTTTTCTAGGGCTTCAAATCCTTTCCCCTTAGTCCATTTTGAAAAACTGCATAGATTTCCATCAGTGCCCTCAGGCTGTAGTTTTGTGGCTCCACTCTCTGAAGTTTGAGGCTTTGGTTTTTAATGGAAATACGGGAGACGGACCTTACCAGAGTTTCATAGGTGGCTGACATTTCTCTCCCACAACAGCTGCCCTCAGGCTACATTTTTTGCTGTTTTTCTGTGAAGATTTGGTTTTGTCTCATAGAGGATATAAAGGAATGGATCTGGGAGGAGTTTTGCAGTGGCTGCTGTTGCCCTGTCTAGCACCATGGAGAGTGCTTTCTCAAACTCCTGCCTGGTTAGCTTCCTGGAGCAAACATCTGGGAGAATCCAAATCCCTCCCTGTTTGCTGCCCCAAATAGCCCCACATACTTATGCTAGCCCTCATTTAGCAATTTGTTAAGTATTTCTGGCTAAATGCTCAATCTTTTTATAGGCTTATATGATGGTAAGGTGATTTCTGCCAAATAAGCAATTATTTGGGTGCTATTTCTTTCTGCTCTTACCAGCCTCTTTCTAAAATTTGGGTTAGTTATTTTCTCTGAAACTTCAATTCTTTCATGAGTTCAGAAAAAGTGATTCATTTACAGTTTATAAGCTTTTTATCTTGTTAGAAGTGTAGGAACAATGTTTTTTTCATCTGTTTTAAAGCTATGCACTAAGAGTCCCTTCATTATTTTTTAATCATTCCTAGTCATCTAGGTAGTGTCTTCCAAGGTCACATAATTAAAAATGTTTTTATTTAAGTGTGGTGTGCATTCATTAGTG